CCTTTAGAAAACCTTCTAACTTTTTGAAATATAAAAACCACTGTTGTAATCTCTAGTCACCCTACAGTGCAATTGCAAACCAGAAATTATTATTCTTATTTACCCATAATTTAGCACCCACTGATCAACCTATTCCTGTCTTTCCTTTCTTCCCTCTGGACTCCCAATCTCTGCTGTCCATCATTCTACTCTCAAATTCAATTGGAGCTATCTTTTGATTCCATGTTATCAGAAAGACCATGCAGTACTTGTCTTTCTAAAATGAGCCTAGGTGGCTGGAGAGATAGCTTAGCAGCTAAGAGCACTGACTGCTCTTGCAGAGGATGTTTCTTACGTGGTAGAACGCCCTGGGTTCAATCCTCAACTCTGCATAAGCTGGGCGTGAGGGTTCTGCCTATAATTCCAACACTCAGGAGGAGGTGGAAGTAGAAGGATTAGAAATTTAAGGTTACCCGCCCCTACACGGTGAATTTGTGGACAGCCTGGGCTAGATGAGATCCTGCTTTTTTAAAAAAAATTCCTTTTGATCTGATACTGGAAGAGCAGAGCAGGCCAGGAAAATCTGACACATTTTCCCCTCTCCTAGTTTTCTTTTTTTCTTTTTAAAGGAAGAATGTTTACCTTTCCATTGAGATTTATGTGTCTTAGAACTTATTACGGTGTGTAAGAGATCAGGATACAGGGAGAAGAGAGATTCAGGGAGAAGAGGACACCTGCTTCCCATCTGGTTGGGGAAATAAATGATTCACAGGCCCCTGTGAATGGAGCCTTGAGGGCTGGTCCTCTAGGTACTGAAGTCTGGGGCTAGGCATCAGATTTCTGAGCCAGTTTCCTGGAAGCAGGATAAACCATTTCTGGTGGAGGAGTGCCTGCCTTGTGCTCCCTTCCTGCTCGGCTCTGCAGGACTTGACTAGAAGAAGCTACAGAGGCTCCAGCAGCTGGGTTATCACATGATGAGAGAAAGAACTTAAAAGAAGGCCTTTTAACCCAAGCCAGTTCATACAGCCAAGAGTCACTCAATACCTGCTTTCAAAACCAGAAACAGTACAGCAGAAGAGAGGCTGAGTGTCTTTTTTTTTTTTTTTTCCGTCTTTTTGAGACAGGGTCTCCTTGTAGCCCCAGCTGTCCTGGAACTCACTATGTAGACCAGGCTGGCCTCGAATTCACAAAGATCCGCCTGCCTCTGCCTCCCAAGTGCTGGGATTAAAGGTGTGCATCACCATGCCCGGCTGAGGCTAAGTGTCCTTGAAGTCACCTAGACCCTCTGCTACAGTCACCAGGAACATCAGCCTGCATTCCCCCCTCACTACGTAAGTGGCTGGTACCATCAGTTCTCTCTCCCTCACAACCCACACAACCTGCCTTAGGTAGAGGATCTGATTACCACCCATGAAGCTTCAAAGAATCCTAATCTCTGATCATATCCATACTTTGAGAATTGACATTGTGGTGTTAGGCATGCTGGGTAACCAGTGTTGAGTTTAGTAGGAGTCTAGAGAAGACAGAATACCTTCAAGTCAAGGTATATAAGTATCGTTTTACAACTGAGCCAGAAACTTCTGGGCTCTAGAAGCAAGTTTTAGCTCTAGCAAATCTAGTCTAGCACTCTCCAGAAACAACATTATGGAAAGTCAGCTTTATGTCACAGTCCCTGAACAAAGTTTGGGCTGCACAGTGTGGCTGGTCTCTAACAAAGCTGAGAACAGTGTGAGGTCCCAGCAAAGACCACATCTCTCCTTCATATTGCTTTAGTAAAATCTGTGGGATGGACTTAGGAGCGCTGTGAGGTGGCTGTAAAGTTCACCTGTCCAATCCTACAAGAGACAGAAATTGTCTTTATTATGAAGAACAAAGTTTTAAAAGATTTATTTATTTTATGGGTACGAGCATTTGCCTGTATGTATGTATGTGTGCACATGCATGCCTGGTGCCCACAGAGGCCAGAAGAGGGCGCTGGGCCCCTTGGAAGTAGAGTTGCAGGCAGGTGTGAGACATCATGGGTACTGGGAGCTGAACCTAGGTCCTCTAGAAGAGCAGCAAGAGATCTTAAGCTCTGAGCCATCTCTCTAGCCCTGCAAATGTTTGTTTGTTTGTTTATTTATTTATTTGTTTGTTTATTTTGGTCTTTTTGAGACAGGGTCTCCCTGTAGCCCCAGCTGTCCTGGAACTCACTATGTAGACCAGGCTGGCCTTGAACTCACAGAGATCCACCTGCCTCTATCTCTCAAGTGCTGGGATTAAAGGCGCATGCCACCACACCCGGCCTATTTATTTATTTTTTAAATATTTTATTTATTATTTTTATTTTATGTGAAGGAGCATATTGCCTGCATGTGTGTAAGTGCACCCATGTCATGCAGTGCCTGTGGAGGTCAGAAGAGGGAGTTGGATCCCCTGGAACTGGAGTTACCAATAGTTGTTAGCCACCTGCCATGTGGGTACTGGAAATCAAACCTGGGTCCTCTCTGAGAGCAGCCGGTGGTCTTAACTGCTAAGTCATCTCTTCAGCCCTGTTTTGTTGTTTTTGAGATGGTGTCTTGCTATGAAATACTGGCTGACCTGGAACCAGCTATGTAGACCAGGCTGGCCTCTAACTCACAGCAATCTGCCTGCTTCTGCCTCCCAAGTGCTGGGATCAAAGGCATGTGCCACCACATCCGGCCTGAAAATAGTTTTTACAGGTAAGTTTTACAGATTGTCCATATCTTGGTTATACTATGGTGGTTTTTGTATGAACTCTTCAGTCCTCTGAGAGCTTGAATGAATGACAATAGTCAATACATTTGAACTACAGTAAATCCTTCCCTGTGTACAGGCCAGAACATGGCATGAAAGGATTTGTGAACTTTGAAGTAAGGAAATATCTTGAGGTTTCACAATTAAACAGACAGTCCAGAAGAAAGTAGACTCTTCTTGATTACTTGAGAGTGGCTTTTACTATGTAGCCCAGGTTGGCCTAGAACTTGCTATGTATCCAGGCTGGCCCCAGATGTGGTGATCTTTCTGCCCCTGCCTTCTAGTGTGCTGCCATGCTGGGCTACACAGACGCTAACAAATTAAACAGCAGTGCTAAAATAAATCATCATGCGTTTATTTTAGATTAATTTTTTAAAAATTTATTATTATTTTTTTTAATGTGTGTCAGTATATTGCCTGCATGTATGTGAGTGCACCTGTGTCGTGCAGTGCTGCAGAAGTCAGAAGAGGGCTTCAGATTCCCTTGGAACTGGAGTTAAGGATGGGTCGTAGCCACCATGTGGGTGCTGGGAATTGAACCCGGGTCCTCTGCAAGAGCAGTCACTGCTCTTGACCACTGAGCCGTCTCTCCAGGCCCTAGATTAAATTTTTATTTTTTATTTGTGTGTGTGCATGTGTGTGCGTGCGTGCGTGCGTGTGTGTGTGTGTGTGTATGTATACCATATGAGTTGCATGTACCTGTGGAGGCCAGAAAAGGGTGTTGGAGCCTCTGGGAGCTGGGATTACAAGC